TTTTATCATTTAAATATATATATATATATATATATATTCTGATGGCAATCCAAAAACAATAATTCTACAAAATCCACTTCTTTTATCATTTAAAAGACGGTCATGCATTCAAAATTCCAAACCTGATATGTGTAGAGTTTGACATATATCATAGGCATTCGTTGATTTGCCCTGCTGTAGTGTTTAGCTACACGATAAACTGTTTCAGGTACGTATTCAAGCACCAAGTTGAGATACAGCTCCTCCTTTTCCGTTGTTGAAAAAAAGCAATGTTTAAGTGAGACCACATTGGGGTGATCAAGAAGGCGCATTGTCTGCAACTCACGGTTCTTATATCTCTTATCCTGCAAAACCTTCTTGATTGCTACAGTTTCACCTGTTTCTAGGCACTTTGCCTGCAAAGCAAAATTAAGGCTAACAGTTATGACATTTAGATTCCAAAGGAAGAGATAGTTAGGTTAACAAAATATATTCAATGGATTGAGAAAATAATGACCGACTTCATAATAGATCACCTGAAATACAATGCCAAATGAACCATGCCCAACAACACGCTCTGCCATGTAACTTATAGTCTGTGAATTCGAAAAGCAGTATAGCACTCAAACTTTTAATATGTAGAGAGGGAGTAAATATTAATGCAAACAAATCATAGAAAAGGAAAACAAAAGGAAAGGAGGGACACAAAGAAATATAAAATGAAAAAGCCTATATAAGTTTGAGGGCACATTTTTAACCCACAGCAGGTAATAGCCCCATCACTGCACAGCCCTTGGAATCAGCCAATATCTTAATGAGAAAATTTTTCACTTTTCCTTTAAGGCCAAATAATAGAAACCTAATCGGAATTTTATTTTATTTTTCAAAATAAATTACACACGTATTATTTAGATATAATGTATCTTATTTAATTATTATTTTCATAAAGCTCTTCTAAATTGTACTTTGTAAGTATACCTTTAAAAGATATATGTATGTATGTATGACTTCTAAATAAGGAAACAATTTAACCAAACTTATATCTGAAATCAGGATGGAATTTTTAAAACATTGTCTGAGGTAGTCATTTCAATCCACTTCTCCTCCAATAAAATTGATTCTCTCCAAAATACTACCAATCAAAAAAATAGTCAAAATTGCAGACTATAGCAATAAGGTGTGTTTTCTTCTTCCAAGCTAAAAAAAAATCACAAGGTATCTAATAGCAAGCTGGTAATCAAGCAACACATACTTGTTTGGGTTGGCCATTTCTGCCACCAATTGTTGTTACAATAATGTGACCTGTCTCAGTTCCATTTCCATCCACCACAGTAGCTTCCATTTCCTATAAAAGAAGCATCCAAAATGAATGATGGAACACCAAAAAGAAGTAAAAATAACAACAAAAAACATAGAGAGAATATACTACTTCAAAATGTTCACAAAAAAATCAACCTTATCATCCCTGATCTTCATCTCATTAATTTCCTCAGGAAGTTTATCAACAGACATTGAATTGTCAGTAGATTTTCCAACTGCCGAGGGAGGGGCGATACCAGCAGAAGCCATATTGGTGAGGAGACACTACAGAAATCTGTTTATAACCAACTGCTTCAGCTCAAAACAACCACTCAACCTAGAAGATGAAGCATATATTAGCGGCTTCAGAAAAAAAATGGTGGAAAAGTCCAAAATTACTAGGAAAAAGTAGTTAAGAATCACCACAAAAGCTAACAACTAATTTCTAACCAGTGTTTTAAAAGGCGTGGGAGGCGTATGCATGGACGCGTGCCTCCAGGCGAGGCATATGCCAGAGGCGCTGACACCTCTGAGGCATATGCCTTAGGTGCGTTTTTTTCATGAGGCGTGCTAGAGGCGTACGCCTCATGGACATCTGATATAAAAAGACAGGAAAGAAAAAGAAAAAAAGAAAAAAAAAGGAAAGGAAAGGAAAGGAAAAGAAAAGGAAGGGAAAGAAAAAGAAAGAGAAGAAAAAAAGAGAAAAGGAAAGGAAAGGGAAGGGAAGAAAATATAAGGGGAAAGAAAGTGGTTTGCCCCCTGCCCCTTCGGGGGGGGGGGGTTGCCCCCTGCCCCTTCGGCTGGGGGGCGAAAGGCCCCCCCCGCCCCCTTTTGGATGCTGCCCAATTTGTTTTTTTTTTTTTTTTTTTGAGTTAGGGGGGTCTTGCTCCGCTTCAACAAGATCCCCCCCCCCCTTCAACTAATGTTACACATCTTTATTCTTCTTAATAAAATATTTATATTAAGGAGGCTTACGCCTCTTGCATTCTGAACTACACCTCACGCCTCTAGGTAGTGGAACGCCTCTGCGTTTATTAAAAATAATCATCCAACCATGATTATGGTTCTAAGAATCGCCAGAATCAAGAAAAACTATTCTTAGAATTGATGCCAAATAGGGCCTAAGGCTATCCCAAGGTATCTATCAGACTACAGTTCTCTGATGACTCACCCCTCATCCTACCTAGCAACCTCTTCTCAAGAATTTTACAGAATATAAGTAAGGCCCTGTAATAGAGAGCATGAACCATTTAGCTTAAAGCTTTTGAAATTAACGTAAGTTTCCCGTGGTGCTATTTAACTATTATAATCAGGAGATCATGGATGATGATTTTCATATTTTTCAAGGAAGATAGCACCACTTATAATATAGAAATGAAAGGACGATAAACAGGAAACAGGATACTAGACACTAGAGATGATGATTATCCCTTTATAATGATATTTAAATTTGAGATTGAGTTTTCCTTCAAACCTGTGTTTTTAATGTTATTACATTTTGTGTATAGTCACAAATTTTTTTATGTAAGTTTGCATTCTGTCATTTACATATCTTTTTTGATCAGAAAATTAATTTCATTTATTAATTTGAAACAAAGAACAAGTGTTTTAGCTACTCTGTATTCTGGAATACAATTCAGCCCCAATACAATACATCAGCCTTTTGTTTTGCTACAGTAGCCTACAATTTTGCCCAAAATAAAGTAGATCTATCGCCCCCCTGCTTTGCTAGAACATTTTCCAATCCATTTGTTGTCCTTCTACCCATCAAAATTTAGAGTTAAAACTCTTTGCAAGAAAATCAATCTCCCTGAATGCAAGTCTGTGTTTCCAGGGTGATAACTTTATTTGCTTAGCCCAAGAGTGAGTCTCTTCTACTTCCAAATCCCTTACTTCTAGTTGTATTGCAAGTTTCAAGCTTTGCAACAGAGCCATTATTTCTGCTTGAACCGAGTCTCCAAAACCAATTGGTCCTGAGAACAAAGTCACAACTTCTCCTTGCTCGTTTCTAAAAACTCCCCCTATACCTGTCCTTCCCAGATTGCCAAAAGAGCTGCCATCAAAGTTCAGCTTCAGCGTATTTGGCTCTGGAGGTTTCCATTCCATCCTTCCCAATTCATGGTGTGAATCTGTTTGTGCAACTAGACTTTTTTTATCAGCAAAAAGTCAACTACTCCTCGCCGTTGAATGCTGAAGATTAAAAGCTGACAAGCCTATGAAATTTTTTCTAGTCCTTACTCAGAGATGAAAACTTCCCTAAACAGTTGTTGCTTGTAAATATAACAAAATAGTCTGTAACCATGTCAGCCACTACTCTAGCTGTATTTCTGATCTTTCTTAATGAAGTTGTTGCTTCTTTTGGTCAAAAAAATAAAAAAAACCTTCCCTGAACAGTTGTGACCTTTCGTCCATGAAAATAACGAAAAGGCAAACCTGATGAAATAAACGCACAAATTTCAGTATAAAGAGTTATCGTGGAATTATTTCATATGATCTCGCCCACTAAAATGAATTCGTGTGCCGCAATGTTCATGTTATCTCTATTTTCGAATTTTAAGCGATGCACTGATGACCAATGAAGAACGATACAACAACTTATTTCTACTTTCTAATGCATTTAAAAACAAGAATATAGCTCAAGTTAAACAAGTGAATACCAAAATAAAAAAACAGATACAGAGCAAAGTAAAAGGAGAAAAAAGAAGCAACTTCTTTTCGTGCGTAGGAGAAATGAAAAGAAAACCCCAAAACGACAACAGGAACAACGTCGAAGAACAAATCAAGCATGAAAAGACAAGCGAAAAGGGGGGGGGCTATGCAGCAAAAAGTTGCAGAGGCCTACCATGAGCTGTAAAAATCTCACATTTTCCACCATTAACGGTGAAATTGAAGAATTGAGACATAAATTGCAGACGAGGGAAAATAGCCAAACCCTAACAGTGAAAGAACATTTCTCCTCTCGGACCTCTCCTCCTCCAGTCCTCCCCTTGATGAGATCCCTCTCTCCTCCAGCTCCAGGTTTGACCAGGAGTCCGTACCCGTTTCCCTTCGAGTGGTTATATTCAGCTTTGGTTCTGAATCTGAACAGGGAGAGGACCCCAAGAAGACTTTGTTAATCCACTTTAGACAACACTTTCCGCGTCCGTAGACAGCCTTTGATTTTGACACGCGTCTTTTTATAATTGGAAGCGTTAGTCACCTAGCTGACTTGCGCTCCCGCCGACATCTTTGTTTTAGAAAAGTTAATGAAAATGAATAAATAATCAGATCTTTATCTTCAAACTTCAAACTGCAATGATTGAGTCACGACGGGTGTCAACGTATTCTGACGTGGCACGCCTACGTGGTAGTAGAACACTCATACTGGGCTTAATGGCTTGCCTTATGAATGGGCCTTCTGTCAAAGTTGTGGCCCATTGTAATTGAAACATCATGCAAAACTTATGCAACAGGCCCAATTATTCACTTAATTATAGGTATAATTAAGTGATTTAAAACCAGACCCCATAGGACTTGTTGTCACAAACCCAAGCCCAATTATTCACTAGGTCTGGACGCCTGGTTTAAGACAAAAAATAAACAACTTCTGGTTCAACTATGATACCCGAAATAGATCATACCAGAAAAAACTCGTGACTAATCTACCGATATTATAAATGCGGTAATCAATCAGGTGGTATTTATTAAAATAAATTTATAGGGGTTTAAATTTTTTTTTTTCTATCAGAAAATTGCTTAATTACTTAAAAACTTTGAATACAAAGTGGTGGGTTCGAAATCCATTCATCTTCAATGTTCGACCCATAGCACCATGCAGCCAAGGCATGAGCTAATCTATTAAATTGTCTCTTAACATGAGAGAAATAAACATAATGTAAACCCGATACTATTTGCCAGGCATCCGAAAGAAGATGTTTCCATCGCCAAGGAGCAATTGGATCTTTTGACTTCAAAAGATTGATGACGGATAGACAATCGCCCTGAATAAGCATATTTCCTCGTCGAATCCGATTAGCCACCTTCATAGCTAATAACATCCCTTTCATCCATCGCCATCAACTGCTACACAAGCCGCTGCTTCCTTTTCATCTTTATATGAACCATCAAAAAATATTGTTGGCTAATTTGTCTGTCTTCTTCATACTGAACCTGTAACTCATCCCCTACATGTGCTTGTAGCTCTACTAACTCCATCCTGAATTTTCTTATTTTATCAATTACTCGTTCTGGTACAATCGTAACTCCATTGAACATAACATCATTCCTAGCTAGCCAAATCATCCATATTACTAGAGCCTGCGATTGCAACAACAAAACATCTGCATCTGCTATTAGACTCACTCGCTGAACACTATTTGTTAACCATTCAGCAATTGCGTTCTCCCTCACCCCATCCGGCCTCCAACCGATACTACCAAACCAGATAGCCTTTGAGAAACTGCACCACCAAAATAAATGCTCAAGTGTTTCTTCTTCTTGTGCACAAAAAGAACACCTCCTGTCAACATGTTGTCTTCGGTAAAAATTAACCCTTGCACCAGTCGTATATTAACTTGTTCATGTATGCAACTCCCAATCAACAAGTTAAAAACTGATTTAACAGTTATACTTTCCATCCCTCTCATAAGTCCAGATCCACTCATCTTCTTGTGAGGTATACTTTGGTAATCCAATTCTTGTAATAGCTTGCTGAACGTCGAGAGGGGATATAGAAGAAATAAGTCGCATGTTCCATAGCCCGCTTTGTGTAAAAAGATCAGCAACATAAGAAACCCCATCATGAATCTCTTCTGTCGGCCTCTGCAGTATAAAACCTTCTAAGTCTGGCAACCAAGGGTCACCCCATATTTTGATAGTAAGCCCATTCCCCACCCTTTTACAACAATCTCTTTGTAATAGATTACGGGTCCTACAGAGACCTTTCCAAAAAGGTGAGCTGCTACTCCCCACAGAGACTGTTAGGAAATCAGCGCCTTTAACATATTTCTTTATTAACAGTTTACTCCAGAAGGACTCCTCTGTCATAAGTCTCCAACCAACTTTGGTCAATAATGCATTATTGAATAATTTCATCTTCCGAATACCCAATCCCCCACATCTCTTTGGCCTACAAGCTTTCTGCCATAGCAGATCAGTACCTGGACCTGAATGTCCATTCCAAAAGAAAGATTTCATAGTGGTTTCAATGATAGAACAGGTCTGAGTTGGCAAGGAATGAACTGACATAGTATATGTTGGCAAAGCTGACAGCACACTGTTAATCAACACTGTTCTCCCCATCTGTGATAAACAATTTGCCCTCCAGCCAGTCAGTCTTGTCTTTATCCTATCCACAACTTCTTGGTAGCTTTCAGACCTTGGATGTCCAATACAAAGAGGCATCCCCAAGTATCTTGCCCGTCGACCTAGTCTCACCACACCTAAACTTCGAGCAATTAACCTCCCTTGTCGTTTCGGTAAATTCTTACTAAATAAAATACCAGACTTTCCATAATTAACCTCCTGTCCAGAACAACTCCCAAACTTGGCCAAAATGTTAACCACCTCATTCATCTCTAGTAGAGAAGCCCGTCCAAATAAAAGAAGATCATCCGCAAATAAAAGGTGAGATACCACCGGGCATCGTCTACCAATTCTTATTCCATGCAACGTTCCCCTTGCAATAGCTTTTGTCTATCACCAAGGAGAGCACATTCATCCTCAATATAAAGAGATACGGGGATAATAGATCACCTTGACGGAGACCTCTTGTTGGTTCAAAACTATTGGACTCCACCCCCATTAACAAGGACAACCAATTTTGTAGTGGAGATACACATTCGAATTAATTGAATCCAATTAGATGAAAACCCCAAACCCTCCATAACTTCATACAGAAATCTCCACTCCATGTTTGCCTCTCTTCTTTTTCATATAATGAACAACCTCGTGGCCAATGATGACATTTGCAAGGAGAAATAATTTTATGTAATACCACTCTTAGCCTATTTGCAAGGAGTTTAAAAAAATTTTATAAATTACATTACACAGACTAATAGGCCGAAAGTGATGCACTGAATCCGGAAATTTTACCCTTGGAATCAGAGCTATATTAGTAAGGTTAATTTCCGGATATAAATTTTCACCATTAAAAAGAGATTGGACCAAGGCAACTATATCAAAACCAATAATGTGCCAAGTTTTATGGAAAAAAATAGCTGACATACCATCAAGGCCATGAGCATTAAGAGGACCCAGTTGGAAGACCACATCTCTAACCTCCTCGTACGTGGGGACTCTACATAGCTCCTCGTTTTCTTCTAGTGTAATGTGTGGGTGTAACAACTCCTTGATTGCAGATGATATGACCGGGTTGGTAGAAGTAAAGATGTCTGAGAAGTACGTCACAAAAGTATCTCTGATTTCTTCCTCATTATCAATCCAACTGCCATCTTCCTTCTTCAATCTATCAATTGCCAACCTCCTTCTATTAATAATAGTAGACAAATGAAAATACTTCGTGTTTCGATCACCTAATCGCAACCAATTTTCTCTTGACCGTTGTCGCCAAAAGATCTCCTCGCGCTCTAGTAAGTCATCCATCTCTCTTGCCAATTCCTTCTCTCTTTGTAACACTTCAACAGTAGGATATCTCGACTGGAGTGTGTCTCCAGTTCCCTTTGTTTTTCCTCTATTTGACGAAAGACATTACCAAAGACTTGTCGATTCCACTTACTAAGAGCTGATCTCATTCTTTTGATTTTATAACATAAATGGCCACCCTCCGAAACATTGGACCCATTTGTATTCCTTTGCCGATTACTCCATACAACTCCTTCAAATTGTTCATGTCTAGTCCACATCATCTCAAACTTAAATCTCTTCCTGCACACCCCCTTGTCACCAACTAAGTTCAACAAAAGAGGACGATGGTCTGAACAAGTTGCAGTGAGATGTAGTATTGTGGCACGGGAAAACATCATTCTCCATTCCCCGTTTGCTAACATTCTATCTAATCTCTCCCTTACATCAGCCAACCCTACTCTTTTATTGGTCCAAGTATACACCTATTCCCAGAAAACCCCATATCTATCAAACTACAATTATCGATAATCCTTTGAAATTCACTTCTACTTGAAGAGCTGCTACTTCTACCTCCTTCCTTTTCACCATCGTGTACTATGGCATTAAAGTCACCACAGCATAGCCATGGTCCATTATGATGTTCAGACTTTTCGCAAATTCTGTGTACCAAAGCAGTCTCCCATCTTGTCCTCTGACGGTTTAAGAAGTCCTAGGCTCTAACAATAGTATCCGCCTTGGACAAATTGAGCTACTATATCAAATTTAATAAGATTTCCAGGGGTGAACTGAACAGTAAAAACCCCTTAATTTAATTATAAGTGTGATATTTCGGGCTTCCGAAAAAAATATGTGATGTTTCCGGTAGTGAGTTCTTTGGCCTAATTTTCAACTTTGAGCTAGGGTGCAGTGGTGGATCCAATGTATTGGGCCTGAACTTTCAGGCAGGTGCATTCAAATTTTAACAAATTTTCAACCCGAGAGCCCAACCAAGTACGCCCCCTAACTTTGAGATTATCTTAATGGGTAGGACCCATCAAAAGATGAATCCTAATTTTCATGTGTCAAATATATGGCAAATAGGAAGTGATGAGTACAAGTCCAATCTCCATAATTGTTTTTCTTGCGGGTTCAAACGACATGGCTGGAAAATAGATTGTTCCTCAAAAAAATACAAAAAAAAATATGTTCTTTAATTTCTGATTTCAAAATTTAGAAAGTCTGGAAATAAAAACACAGTTCTTTTTGTTAATGTAGTAATTCCAAAAAAGTAAATGAAAACAAAAACATTCATGATGTAAAACACCCCTTAATTATACTTAAAATAAAGTAAAATAAACGATTTATTTAAAATGATATTCCTAACATTTTGTTTAACTTGTTACTATGATGATAAACTTTGGTAGTCAATTTTCAACAGCCTGGGCTGTCAACAACGCTCTCCTTGAATGATACGCTAGTTCACCCTATAATTTATCCGAGACAGGATCAATTACCCACAGACCACAGCCCATCCCATCCGTGCATTGGGAGTATCTCCCCATGACAAGCACGGGAGATGTCCCCAGTGCATGGAGGGGATGGCTGTGGGCACGTTCTGTGGGCAGCTGATCCCATCACAATTTATCCGGCATTCATATTATTAAAAGGAATCTGTATGAGTTTGAGAAAGGCCCCTGTTAACAATGCAGCCAAAGTTTTCCTATTGTCGAGCCATTCAGCTATCCATCTGCCTATTAGCTTTTTGGGTTTTGGTTGCATGATTTGAAAAATGAAAATTGTTCAAATAGGGTTCCAGCTTACATCAGATTTTTTTTTTTTATTGAATGATTTGGATTGTAATCTAAACCCAATTTCAATTGGATGGAACATGTTGTGTGATTAAGGTTATATTTGGTTTGAGGGAAAAGGTAGGGAAAAGACAAGGAAATCTATACAGGATTTGTAATGGTTTTCTTATCTTTCCCTTCTTTTCCCTACTTTTTCCTTCAAATCAAACATAGCCTAAGTGATTGGATTTTTAAAGGAAAAAAAAGTCTATGAACCATTGAAACAAAAAAAAAAAAACTTGCAGCAATCTTTTCATAATTGAAATGCAAGTCTCATTTTCTCTTTTAAATCAATAAGAACAATTTTGGAGCTTTGAAAAGTGTAAAACTTGGAGCAGGAGGAGCAAAGGTAACTAGAATTCATTAAAGAAAGAACAAGTACATGACAAGATGTATAAAAGAAAATGGGAGGATCCCCGAGAGATTACAGAGGAGGAAACTTGTCACTATACAAATGATCCAAAAACACCCCACACTTGGCTAAGCCATCTGCTATATGGTTTTGTTCTCTTGGAATCCAAACTAAAGTTGTGTTTGGAATTAGTGTAAATCAAGAACAGTGTAAAAGTTTACACATGTTCGATTTTATTTGCATTTGGAAGGAGATTGTAATTATGATCGACATAAAACTCTACTCCAGTTCAATTTTACGTGTGTTTGGATGGAATGGAGATTATAATCGATTATTGATGTAAATATTACATCGATTTTGTCGATGTAAAACTTTACACTCTTCACCCATCACATTTTTCAAAAATCAAAGGTCATTTTCATAGTTCAGTGTAAAACTTCAGCGGTGTACTTTTATTCCGATAACCTTTTACACTGATTCCAAACACAGCCTAAATTAGAATTTAAGCATTCCAAAGAATCCCTGGCCTCTACCAAATAGTGGCTCAGTCTCCAAGGTCCCCCCTCCCTGTTTCTTAGCCACTTTAGGGTATTTGATGAATCCCCTGCAACGGTTACGTTCTGCATTCCCGGATTTTTTACTATTCCGATTACAGTGACAGCACCCATCACCTCAGCCTTTGTGGAGTCGGCCAATCCAATTGGACCACCGAAAGACCAGCATATGTTGCTTCTTTCATCCCTTCTTACTGTGCTTCCAATGCCGGCTAAACCAGGACTACTTAGAGCATTTCCCATCAAAGTTTAGAGTCTTCTTTCCATCACCGAGAACAACTAGTCGTCTCGGGATTGTTTGATGAGGGTGCGGAAGAAAGAGAAAGGAGTGAACCTCTCTCTGTTGAGATCATTAATTGAGATTACTTCGAACAAATCTGAATTGACTGTCCACAGGTTATAGAGGTAAGTTATATCAGAAATTAATTCTCCAAGGGGCCTAAATTATAGGCGTTTTGTTTCTTTCATCCCAAAATCCCCACATCACTACCTGTCACGCATCTTCATCTATGTGAAGCTTCACCATACTCCATAGTAGTCAGTAGTCAAATCAGTGCCGAAAAGATTTGAGAGACTACAGAGCAGAAAAAATGAACTACAACAAGTCAAGGGTAATTTTTAGCAAAAACACTCATAGAATCCATAAAAAAAATGGTAAGTAGAGCTCTGTCTATGAAAATAATGGGCATACAATCTAAATACTTGGGGGCTTGGATAGAAGAGGAGAGAAGTAAGTCCCACCTCTATAAGGAGCTGACTTCTAAAGTGGAAGGCAAATTTTCAAACTGAAAGCCTTCTCTCGGGCAGGGAGAACTACTATGCTACAATCAGTGGCACAGAGCATTCCCACCTATCTAATGATGACATATATGTTTCCAAAAAAAAAGTCCTCACCAGATTGGAGATGATGCAAAGAAATTTCTGGTGGAAAGGAGACAAAGATTAAGAACAACGTCACAATATCTCTTGGAGAAAAATTTGTAGACCAAAGAACAAAGGAGGGTTGGAATTGAGGTTGGCAGAGCCAATGAACAGAGTTTTTTTCTCAAAACAAATATGGAGACTTTTAGAAAGGGAGAGAGGAGATGTGGATAAATCAAATACGAGCAAAGTATCTAAAAGGGAAAAGTTTGTTTGAATGCAAAGCGAAGCATTTTCATTCCTATTGGTGGAAGAATCTGATGAAGTAGAGAGAAAATGCTTGACAAATTTATCCACTAGCAAGTTGGAAATGGAGAGAAAATAAATGACATAGTAGATCCATGGATCCCTTGGGCGTTTGGTAGCCTTTTTCTCTAATAAGTACTTAAATAAACATTTCTGACTATTTTGTTTTTCATTTTCTTTCAAATTTTCAAAATATACCCTTTGAAAGCACGTTTATTAAATTATTTTTATAAAAACACTTTTATGAAAGTACTTTTATAAAAACGCTTTTATGAAAGTAATTTTATAAAAATATTTTTATTACGAAAGCACTTTTATAAAGTGATTTCGTAAAAGTGTTCTTATTAAAGTGCTTTCGTAAAAGCACTTTCATAAAAGTGTTTTTGTAAAAGTACTTTCTTGAAATTGCTTTCATAAAAGTAATTTCTTAAAAGTGCTTTTATAAAAATGCTTTCATAAAAGTGGTTTCATAAAAGCACTTTTATAAAAACACTTTATACAAGTAATTTTACAAAAGAATTTTTATGAAATTACTTTTATAAAATTCAACTAGGGATAATTTTATAAGTGGTATTTTAAAATTCCACTAGGAATGATTTTGGAAGAAAAAAAAAATTGAATAAGTGCTTATCGTATAAGCACTTAAAAAAGCTAGAAATTTGAACTTAAAAAATAAGCCCTTATTTTTAAAATAAACACTTCTTTTAGGTTTATTTTCCAAATACCAATAATTGCTTAATGGCCCAAATAAACACTCCCAAATATAGCCTTAGAATATCAACTGACCAAATAACCATTAACAACTAGAAAGTAAAATACCTCATTACCGATCAAGGAGAATGGAATAATCTCTTCTTATCAGAAGTCTTTATTGACAGAAGTGTGCACCAAATCTAAAACACCCCCATCTCCATGCAGAACCAACCATACAAACGTAAGTCACAAAAAAAATAGACAATTTACTTTCAGATCAACTTACAGATGTTTCATTACTGATACTGAAGGATCACAACAACTCTCCGCAATCAAATGGTCCAAATTTTGGAAGGTCAAAGCTCCCAAAAAATGTTTGCTTTTTGGGTAGAAATTTCTATTAAATGCAATAAGAACCAAACAATC